AGTCGCGTTATCGCGAAAATTTTCACTGCGCGAAACGCGGCTGATTAAAGTTGGCACGCGAGAAGTTCCCTGAACCAACTGGCCGGCATCGCTTCCGGTAGATTGCTGAGACGGCATTATCGCCATCATTCTAAATACGGGAAACCGCGGCTTTCCTTCGAGTTTCGAGACGCGAGAGACCTAGAAAATCGATCGTTGGTCGGCCGGCAGATGTGGGTATGCTTTATGAACGTAGGTGAGGACAATTTACCGAAAGACGAGATAATGTCACGAGCAGCTGGAACGATGCTCATCGTTCCGCCGCTTTCAGGAACGTAATACGAACGGCAATTCGTGGCTCGTGCCCACACGACACGCGTGGGAACGCCGGTACATATTCGTCGTTGATCTACGTTCAATGTTTTCGATCGTAATACAGTCCAAAAGTTCGAAATTTCGTGTTTATTGTTTGTAACACATATTAGAGACGATCGAAAATTTATTATTTCACGAATCAGAATGTTTTTTTGTTTGCGTTAACCGAGCTAGAATTTTCATTGAATGAAATGTTAAGCGATGCTAAGTATAAACCGTTGTTTTAGAAATGGAGGACAGTACGCGAATCCTATTTGAAACTAATTAATATGACTTTTTCGTGGAGTATTAGACACATCTTTATGTTTAAATAGATGTATTCTTTACTTAATTTGAAAGTATAACAGTAAATTCTATTTACAATATTTGAAATAATTATTTATCTATATGTCGGTGAAAATGGAGAGTTTCTAGGTTCAGTAGCTGAAGAGTGTTAGGTTACACGAATTGGTCATGATACGAAGCACGATAACAAGGACAAACAATTAATTCAGCCGGCAGTACTATCTCGTGTAACGTTTCGTGGAATTCTGATATTACACGCGAATGAAATGTGGTATAATAAATTTATATTCTATTGAACGATGAATAATTAATTATTTCATTTGTGTATTCAACCATTACGTACATTTTAAATGCACTTAAAATATAAGTCGTGTTACTTTTGTATGGACGTACTCGTTTTTATCTATCACGGAACAGATCTGTTAATATTTTTGTGAAATTAATCTCGTAATCTGCAAACATGAATTAAGCTTTATCGATACTGATAGTAATTCAAAATAAATTTTTTATGTTCACATCGATGTTATATTTTTGCATAATAGAGCAATAAATTATTTATTTTTAAAAACATTAAAGACACGTTCTCTCTTAACAATATACTAAATACTGATGCCATTTTTATTAAGTACAAGACATTGTATAAACTAACATATTACATGTTACTTTAATATTTCAAACATTTAAACAAACAACAATTTTAATTTCAGTTGTTATTATTTTAATTATAATCATTTTTAGAAAATTACTTTTACATATAACTGAATATATTTTAATTATGAGTCGTAAATTAATCATGAAGTTTATAAAATACAGACTCTATGTTATTTATAATGAACATTCGTTTTTGGTGTATTATTTTTCCTTGTCGATAATTTACTTTGATATTTATAGCTCACTTTCCTCGACTACATTAACGTTTATACAATCTCCTAGAACATCTCAAAATTGTTTGATGTACGATGTAATTTCGAAGGGGAAATAGAAGTTGGGATGTTTCAAAGAACACACAGAGATGTGTGTACATACACTGGCCGCATAAAACACTACCCCCACTATATTGGATTTCACGTGCGGCTCGTGCGTGATTTCATAGACCGCTAAAACAGTTTATCTTGTGAACGGAGGTAATGAATAATGTATACCTAAGTGTTTTTACAATTAGCACAAAATTTACACAATATAATCCGTTGCGTAACCACTTTTTGACTTATTATAAATAAATATTTGAATTTTTGCAGTTTTTGCTTTTATTCCTACGGATGATAAAGAAGTATAACATTTATTGAATAGTTTATGTTAAATGAAAACAATTAATAATTAAATAGAAGCTTAATAATTATTAATGATATTTAAACACATTCTAGCTTTCAAGTCATTTGAACGATTCTTATTTTTAATGTATTTTTAAAAATAAATTAATAAATTCTCAAATCGTAATATTAAACAATGATCTGAATGAATGTCTTTACTTTCTATATTATGCATATTCAATAATTTCACGATCATTACTACGTATGCATATGTTGGTTACATAGGTATTCAGAGGTAATTGCACCGTTTATATTTAGATACGACGTCAATATATATGCTGTACGCACAGAACTCAGCAGGCGCGTTAATGCAGTTATTAAAAGAACAAGTACCACCAACGTTTGAATGAATGTTTGTATAGTAATCGCAGAAATAAAAAATTTCAAGAACAGAAACAAACCACAAATAGATACATCTGGTTATTTTCTCAAACAATATTATGGTAACGATCTTGAGCATCCGCTAGTGTTCAATGATAATTAGTCTTACCTAATTTTAAACAAATTAGAATCGCAAATTAAACTAGAGTTACTAGTAATCATATGTTTATCGTACAGGGAAAATCATGTTCTTAGCATTTCTTTCACAATTTTATATTGTTTAAAGTATGTAAATGTGACACATCTCCAGATATTAGCGGTTCAGGGCCTGCGGAAAAGTATATTCTGTAATTTAAATAGAAATATTACTGAAATCGATTAGTTTTTGAAATGTATCTGTTCCGCCAGTTTGAAAAACAATATTTCGAGAAAGAGGTGTTCAGAATTTTACGTGATGCTAAAGTTCAACTAGCAGCGGCAGTCTAGAATGCCTATAACTTCGTTAATTTTCAAACTTTCAAAATATCCATTCAAGTATGCATTTTTAAAAAATGAATCAAGTAAAAATTCCTAGAAAATCAATATTTTAAAAATTTCTAGACGACAATCCTCCCTTGAAAAGTAATTCATTGCAATTTCGATGTCCAAAATGTAATAACTACTGTCCATTACTTTCTGTTTGATTTCTTCAGTATTTATAATAAATACTATTATTAATATCATAAGTTTTAAATATTATAATTTTGTGATTTTATTATTATGTAAATATTACGGTGTATTACACTTTAATGTTAGTTTCACAAACGGTAATAATCGTTTTATTCAATCAAAATGGAAGAAACAAATATTTGTTCGTGACTATTTAAGTCTTAAGGGAGTGTTATTTACGAGAAAAAATATTATTACTGCTGAAAAGTTCTTAGAGCGTCGCGCTGCTTACTCGTATCACTAACATCTTCTTGTCCCGTTGAAATCACCAAGTAAACAGGCGTGTAGGCGATTTCGACGCCCGAACGGAGGTGCGCATCCTTCGCGGAAACATGAAAGGAAAGAAC